AAAGAAAAAACCCTCCACTCTTTTTTTTAATCGTTGAAACAAAGAGCGTTATACATTGAGGTAGGGTTTGGGGAGTTTCATGTGTTGCACTTCTCTTTCTCTCTCAACATCCTTGTTCCCTCTCTCCTTCACTGCACATTTAGAGGTGCCTTGTGTCCAAGGGTGCATCCATAGCCTTGCAATGGGTACCCTATTTATCTATTATGAAGTTATCTTGATCCATCACCTTCCTATTACTTTCGCTCTGTATAGTACTACTAAGCCCTACATGCTCCAGATTTTCCATCAAGATTTGACATGCTTATGATGTTCTAAAGGTGTGGATTTACTTGTTCTCGAGAAACTCTAGTTGGAGCATATTAATGAGTTCGTTCCATACTTTTATGTTCATCTTGGTGTAATTCAAGAGTAGGATAGAGCACGAAATAGAGGATAATAGATTGGGGATTTGAATTGATCATTTGAGGAGCTCTTATTATAGACATACGCTTATGCTTCTTACGTGATTGAATTATATATATGCAAAATGTTTGGTAATATTTTTAAGTAAGGTTTAAAGAGAGATTTTGATCCAAATCTGATTTTTGATTAATCCATATTAGTAGTCACGTTAAGCGGATCCTACATCAAGGTTACGGGTATGGTTCAAGCTAAGGTTTTCAAGCGTGCGTAGTGTAATTGCATACCCCACACCCCCCTCCCCCGGGGGGACGTTTTTGGAGAAACCCTTCTTCTTATAATCTCTTTCCTTTCAAGATAATGCCGGAAAGTGTGCAACATCTCACGGTATCAAAAAATATATATATCAAAACGGATTGATTAAATTGGTCCGGCAGGATCCAAATTTACAACATGAGGTAAGTGTTTGGTCATTGTACTCACTTCCTTTTAAATGAAATGGTTGTTTTGGTTGTGTGCATTTCAATTTTTTTTATTTAATTTTAAATTTTGGAGTCATAAAAATGGAAGACAAAAAAAATGAAAACCACCAACAAATACAATCTAGCATACATGACTAAATCCTGCATGCATCACCCAAATATAGCAAAAATTATGTGAAGGGAAATTTCGGAGGAATGCACTAAAAGTATTGTATAATTCCAAGGCGACAACTCCAACAATGAGAGGACTCTAAAGCATGCATGCAAATTTGAATTTTGAATACGTATATAGTAAAGTGTTATTGTAAATTCCTCGAAGTGTTAGGGTGCATTGAGAGAAATAAAACTTTACTTGGAAGGTGATGAAAGGGTCTAGAAATGTCCTCAGAGGTCCATAAATAAATGTACAATTGAATGAAATTTGGTATCTTTTGTATGCATAGTTTACATATTCATATGCGCTTTCTTCCTCCTTCCTTCCAACACTCCTCTACTTCAAATAAATAAGTAAATTATCTCTCCTCATTCTTTCACTGTCACTCTTCCTTATTTTCATGACAGTAATCATCTATGATCTGAAAGTGACTGCCTATGCACTATGTCTAAAATACACATATATGGAGCAAGGAATGCCCTTACATGGTACTTAAAAATTTTGTGAGAAAAATAATTTCAGTAGTGGAATATATATTGTGCGCTTCTTTTGAACAAAGCTAAAGTAGACGACCTAGGACACATTGACACTATCTCTGAGATGGAGAGAAGATTGAGCTGTAGATTATAAGGGCTGTTAGCTGTTAGTTTGCACTTTCTTAGCAGCTACTGCTAGTATTGGCTTTGCAGAAAACAAACGAGGGAAAAAGTAGTCCAGGAACAATACAGCTTCTTATGGAAAAACATACAGTGAGACTATTTATCTTTTGAACAAGGTGGTCACAATTTATTGTGCTTTTTGGATGTGAAATTTAGTGGTTACATTTACTCTATCGGCCAAGCACAAAGTTCAAAAGAAATTTTCTCGACCTTTTTGACACACTTAAGCTATAAAATTTAACATCAAATGGTTATAAACAATTGTGACCTCCTTGTACAATAGGTAAATGGTCTCATTTTATACAATCCCCTTTGTCATAGACTCATTTCCTTTAAAACAAACAAACCCATAAACTTCAACTTTTTATCTAAGAAAATCCAAAGCGTGGTTATTGCAATGTTTGGCTTGTTGTTGGTGAGTTTTATACTAGAAACATGTTATTTCAAGATGGATCCCTCGAGCAGGTTTCTCATTGAGCCGATAATGTCTCAAAGAAAAATCCCTTCCTCTACAGTAAACCCTTGCTCAGGTCCTTTTGCAGAAACGACCCTCGCAGCTTTCACTCATGTTCTATAGGCATTATTCCTTTGGTAAAATAAAAAAATAATTCTTTAGGCCTAATTTGGCTTGCTTCAAAATCCTCATTGTTATAGCTTTATTCTGATATCCCCATTTATTTCAGAAACCACTGCAAAAATGCTCGAGATACGTTGGTAACCAGTTATATATATATATAGGGAAAAGTTTATATAAGGTTGCAACCTTAAAATGTAGAATCACAGATGCACCTCAAAAATATATCGGAAATATTGTTTTAATGTTGAAAACACCTTCTAATCGATCATCTCGATATTGAGATGTATGAATATGAAAAAAAAAAAAAGTTTTCGAGTCCCGGAAATAATGCATCTTTAAACACATTATCTAGACCGTCCATTTTCAATATTTTCATATATTTATAGATGTACTTGATTTTAACCATTTTTGAAATTTAAAATTTCTAATTAGGTATGAAAATAGATTTAAGATATTACTAAGAATTTTTTATAACAAAATTACATGTTATGATAAAATTTTAAGGTGCACCTTGATTGGATTGTTTAAGGTTGCATCTTTATCGAAACCGCACCCATATCTATATATATATATATACGCAATGTTTTTGCTCCATTCTTGATTAATTATAAGAAAAGATACTACTTAGTAATGCATGGGCAGTACATCCAAATGGGGCTTTAGTATGGTGAATATGTGTGTGCGCGTCTTTATATCTGTACATAATCATTCAAGGACCCCATTCTGTATTAGCCACTTCAACAGACAAAAACCCACTTGCACACTCACCTGTGCGCACGTGCAAGTGCACATGGGATCTTGGCCCTCAAATATCAAAACATCTTAAATGAATTTTATGCTTTTTTCATGCAAATTTATGTGACCTAGAAACGATCATTTTTCTAAGAAGTTATTTATTGTCAGGCAGAAAAATCGATCATTAGAAGTAGAGAGAAGTGGAAAAAAACAATGTATCAAATTCTTCCTTGCATCCTTTCAAAAGAAGTTTTCCTTTATAACGCACTACAGGCATCATAACTTCCGACTTCAAGTGTTTTAGAAGGTCGTTTCTAAAAGGAAAGTCACAGGAAAAGCCGTGGTCCAAAGTTTGATTCTTCCAGAAAATCATTTGAAAATTTTGGTTAGAATTATTTTGGTTATTATGTGGGCTATTGGTATCCTTAAAGGATCATATTAGAAGAAGAATTAGGCAAAAAACTAGATTATGTTCTGGGAAAATGAAACTTCCATGAAAGAGAAGAAAATGAAACGCTTTCATAAAAGTTCTCGTAAAATCGAGAATGAAGTTTTCATTCTATACGTGCTAGATAATTTATTAGTAACTACACCCAATCTACTAAAAAGTCCCACTTATTTCAAACTTTCTATAAAATAGTAAAAGCATGTGGAAATACTGGTAATGGAACCAGGTACAAGGCATTCTATTTATTTCAGATATCTGAAACTGAGAGACGCTTGACCAATATCGATATCTAATTGTAGGCCTACTTGATAATAAAAGGTTTAAAGGATTCAATTCAAATAATCCCGTTCACACCCCACATTTGATTCAACGATCATAGGCACCTCATTCTTTTGAATTCAAGAGTCTCATATTGTTACTCAATTGTGAGCAAGAAGTGAGAAATTCAAAAGTCTTGCCTAAATGATTAGCAAATACTCATGAACGGTCCGATTCTAAGAGCATCTATCCCACAAATCAGAAAAGAGAGAATAATTCTCTATTTTAGTGTTATAAAAATCCTTGAGGGATGAGTACTTAGTGATTAAGGATAACTACTCACACATTAGAAAAATCCAAATGACAACTTCGATTTAAAGCATGCTCGAAAAAGAAACCTTTCCATGTGACTCATGACTTGTAAAATTTATGTGTCTGGTGACCTACAGTTGTCTGATATTGATCCATGGTTTGGACTGAGATGAAAAGTGTGCTACAGGTTAGTACTAGCCATATTCATCATCTTTTAGTCCAGTTGGATGGCAGGATGTTCAGCAACATATGTATTATAAGTGAGAGGAGATACATGGAAAGCTGGCTCTCCATAGAAAGGGTTAAGTGAAAATATGGAAGCATTCTATTTGAGCATAAGATCTATTTACCTATTTTTTGAAAAATCCAAACCAAAAGGTCTAAGGGACATGAACTTATTTTTACCGAAATTTTGCTCTTGAATGTTGTTGCACAACATATGATATTCAGCATATTATATGTTACGGGTTCATCTTTTGGAGATATTTATTCTTTGAGCATTTTCACCTGCAACACTGAATCAAGAGTCAGCCAAACATCATCAGTGTAGAAAATACTGTAACATGAAATAAATAAAAAACATTTCCACATCCCCAAGTTTGGGAACCCGCAAATTTTTATTTCATTCTATGATAGCTACTGGGTATTACCAAATGTTCACAAAAGAGGAACTTAGTGCTAATAATTTAAATTAAAAAAAAAGAAATTGACTGAGCATTACAATGGAAGAAGAATAACACTACCCATAAGAATATCAAGGTCAGTTCCTACGGTTATGATAAGAAGGACTTGTAGAGAAGCAAGCATGGTAAACTTAAATATTTACAGCACTTATATATTTACAATCTGCAAATCCCAAACATTTACATAGAAAAGAAGAAACCAGTTCCGAGTTTCAACAGTACAGGGTAGAAGGTCCCCTACCAGCTGTGTATGCCCACCTCAAGTGGGTTCTCATCACAGAGAGAGCGAGATGCTAAGGACAAAGAGACTTGACAATGTCCGCCATTGCCTTTACCTGGGTCTCAAGACACTTGATATAATCGGCTGTTTCCTCCAAAAGAGTGCAATAATCCATTCTCTCACCTCCAGGGACCAGTCCTCTCAGCTTATCAGGACGGCTTATGCTCTCAACGCCTCTACAAACTTCTTGCTTCTTCTTTTTGTTTAAAACCGTTACCCTCTTTAAAGCTCTGCCATGTTTCAAGTGAAGCTGAAACCTTTCAAGGATTGCACGGCTCCATGCTTTCTTTGGGGTAACTGCCGAAGCCAACGAAATATCCGACGCCAATTTGATCATCTTTCCACTTCGATGTTTGCTCGTGTTTTTTGATTGAATTGTCGCTAGGGCTTTCAAGAAGCGATTGCTGAAGGTGGGTGCCAGAGAGTCATGGTTGTTTATGATGATTTTGCCGGGTTTCGGTTTTTGATCACTCCCCCCATGGTTTTCCTGTGATGGATACATTGAGAGAGAGGAAAAGAGAGAGATGGGAAGGGGTTGTAGAGAGAGAGGGAGAGATGGTGAGGGGATCTAGAGGGGGAGGCACAGAGATGGTGAGGGGCCCTAGAGAGTAAGATGGGGAGATGGGAATTAGGGTTTATAAATTCTAGAGAGAGAGAGAGAGAAAGAGAGATTGGAAGTGGGGGTTTGTAAGTTCTCAGGTGAGGAGTAGTACAATGGCTTTTATGATTGGAGCAAGGGGATCTGGGGCTCTGACAGGGGGGGCCGCTATATCAGAGAGACAAAAGGTTCATACCCCTCCCTCTTTCTCACTCTGCAGAGCGGTGAGAGAGTAAATTTTGAGTCTACCTGCATGAATTCAATTTGTGGGCAACGCTCAGCAGGTGAGAATATTGCAAAGAGATGAACTGAGGGGTAGTTGCAGAGTAATGGAGGTGAGACCCTTATGATCACCCATCTAGAGAGAGAAAGTTAGAGAGAGAGAGAGAGAGAGAGGAAAGA